AAGGACATAGACCGACCGGGTAAGCGCAAGAAAACAGATCGCGAGAGTGGTTACGCTCAAGCTAAGAGTGCAATCTTTGGGAGCTCGAGTGATGAGCCCCAAGAGACTGCACCTGAAGCCCCGGAAGAGGATAGCCATAGGGCTAAACTCAAAGGTCCTGTGGTCGAGACACCGAGTACTGTGAAAAAGTGATTCTAGTGTATTATTAGTGTGCCTGTTTGTCTTTGCCCTTCCCGTGTAAAATAAAAGAAAGTTGCAAAAGACAAAGAAGAAAAACAAAACGCACTTCCCAAACTGGAATAAAGGGAATGCGACAAACAACGAAAAAGAAACAAATCACACTTCCCCAACTGAAATAAAACAAAAACGACAAACTAAAAAGAAATCAAAACACAATGCACCATAAAACAGGAAGGAAAAGAAAGTAAAGTGAAAGTAGAAATGCTTCCTTTTTAACTGGACGCAATCGCAAATTGCTCAAGAAATGCAAAGTGGTGTCGGCTCTCTTATGAGCATATGTCTATTTAAACTACCTCTCGGTTGAAAGGAGTACCCTGCATTTCATCCTGCAAACTCAAGAAAAACCATCAAATAGTCCAGACATAAAAATCAATGGCATCCCCAGATATGCTTATTGATGACCTTAACCTTGAGTTGTCGCTTGCACCACCAAATGCCCAGATACGGGCTCCTCCAAATCCTATCTTCCCAAACTCCTCATACCATCATGGCTCGGCCTCAAACTTTTCTAAGGCGGTGCCGTGGAGGGCAGTATTGCCGGAAGGCATGACTGTCAGCAGACTTTCAGTTGCAGATCATCTGCATGTGGCGCAGAAGTCTGACAAGATGGCAGTGGACGAGTCCCACAATTTAACCGTGCTCAACGCGGTCTCAGCCACAAATTTGGGCATGCGCCTACTGGCGAGAACACGAGAGTGCGGGGCACTGAGTGAGGAGGTGGCGGCCCTGAAAGCTCAGGTGGCGGACCTGCAGAAGCGGCTCTACAGTGCCACCCAGCATGTAGAGATGCTGCACAAAAGGAATGAAGATCATGTAGAGCTGCTGCAGATTCTACAAGCAAGAACAAACAGAGGCAATTAGCAGAAGCCTCAGGTGACGCAGAATGCAACAAAGAACATGGGATTATGAATATATGTACGCATTTTCACGTTTGTGTATGTAATCACATGTTAAGAAATGAAAAAGCATTCACGCCCAATTTCTGATTGTGCATTAATGAATTGAAAACACTTCCCAAACTTATATGAAACACTGTTTATAACTGATGGAAATTTAAGATTAAACAATGCCATATAGAGAAATTGGGATTGATAATCACATAATAAAAGAAAGGGTAAACAAACAAAGGTTGAACTAACAGTAAAAGTTGAAATAAACAAACTAACAATCGTCTGAAAATAAAACCCAAAAACAAAATAAACTAAAAGTTCAAAAGGGTACAAGACTCAAAGTACTACTGATTATCATCACCATCATCACCATTATCATCATCAAAAACATCATCATCATGTGCAGAGGTCCCGGGTTGACCTGGCATCTGGAGGTGGGTCCAAATGGCGTCAATGGAGGTGCTCATATGCTGCATCTGCTGATACTGGAGCATCTGAAAGCCCCACATGGCTTGGAGACATGGGTCCCAAGCAGAGGTGTCGACACTGGGAGCAGGTGGGAATGGCTGTGATGAGGCCGGCCTGTGTGGCGGTGGTGGTGGCACATGGGGCGGCACTGGAGCTGGTGCGGGTGCATTGCGTCTCTGAGAAATACTCTTGGACACAGAAGTGTTCGAAATGGGACCCATGGGCTCAGCAATTATATCAATAGAGCGAGCCCGATCACCTGAGCGTAGGCAAATCATGCTAACAAGGCAAGGATAATAAATGATGTTTTTCTTACGTGCACAAGCCTTTAAGCGTTCAAAAATAATGTCAACAATAGGTAGGGAAAAAGTTCCCTCATGCAAAACTTTCAGGATCTTTCCCCCTACTGTGGGAATTTCCGATTGTTGGCCGGATGGGTAGATGTTGTGGCGCACAAAGCTCCACAGGATGGCAAAGTAGGGTGTCAACTTACCCTGAATGAGGACATTCTTTTTTGTTTGAGATGCAAAGGCAGCAGGGTCAACATAAAAAAGTCTTTCAGCTGCGCTTTGCAAATCAAAATCTCTATTTACATGTTGGTTCTACGCATCAGTATCCCCCTCAGGCAAGTGAAGAACATCAGAGATAATGGAGGGGGATAGGTCAACATTTTTGGCCCGAACCTTAATGGGCACAGCTTGATTATCTCTAAACTCCTCCCTAGGGAAAGCAGCATAAAACTCTCGCACAATTGATTCATTGTATTTTTTATAGATACGAGCTAAAGGTAAGAGGTTTCGGTCCCTAAGAAGGTGCTGGACTTGAATAAGTCCAGCGGTTTGGATGGAGGGACTAAGATCTATTGCCTCTTCCGGTTGAGCTGCACTTCCGGAAGAAGATGCACCCCCTCTGGTACCCTTTCTAGCTCTAGACATCTAAGGAAAATAAACCAATATGCACAAAGCAAGACAACAACAAAATTCATGCCACAAAGCCACAATCAAAAACAAAAACAAAGAAAAACAGGTTAGAAACAATAATAAACAATAAGAAAAACAATTAGAGTAAGAAAATCAAAGAGAAAACACCAAAGAAAAATCGAAAATTACCTTGGGTGAACAGTAACCCTAACTGAAAATCCTCCAAAATTGATGAAAACACTTGAAATTTCAAGGAATAGATGCCAAAAATGGATTCTACTCGAAAAATCAAGTGAGAAAAGTGTGATTTGAGTTAAGATTAAGGTGGGTTTTGAGGGATTTAGAGGGAGGGAGAAGAGAAAATAAACGAAGGGGGAGAGAGAGGCTGTCGCTGGGAAGAAGAAGAAGTGAGGAGAGAGAAGAGAGAAAAGAAAGAAAAAGAACCGGTGTTTTAAAAAAATCGCGACAAGCGACCAGTCGTTCTCTATCCCCCTTTTTCTCTTTTTTTTTTTTTTTTTCTATTGGTCGGATTTCAACTGCACCATAGGATTTAGGGTTTAGAAAAATTGATTCTGTTTCAAAACGACCGGTCACGTTTGCCTTGCGACCGGTCGCTCTTCGCGCAATTCTCTTATTTTGAATCTGTTTCAAAGCGACCGGTCGCTTTTCACTTGCGACCGGTCGCTTGTCGCGATTTTTTTAAAACACCGGTTCTTTTTCTTTCTTTTTTCTCTTCTCCCTCCCTCTAAATCCCTCAAAACCCACCTTAATCTTAACTCAAATCACACTTTTCTCACTTGATTTTTCGAGTAGAATCCATTTTTGGCATCTATTCCTTGAAATTTCAAGTGTTTTCATCAATTTTGGAGGATTTTCAGTTAGGGTTACTGTTCACCCAAGGTAATTTTCGATTTTTCTTTGGTGTCTTCTCTTTGATTTTCTTACTCTAATTGCTTTTCTTATTGTTTATTATTGTTTCTAACTTGTTTTTCTTTGTTTTTGTTTTTTATTGTGGCTTTGTGGCATGAATTTTGTTGTTGTCTTGCTTTGTGCCTATTGGTTTATTTTCCTTAGATGTCTAGAGCTAGAAAGGGTACCAAAGGGGGTGCATCTTCTTCCGGAAGTGCAGCTCAACCGGAAGAGGCAATTCTCACTGCCACTGTGGTTACTGAGCGTAACCTAGATCTTAATCCCTCCATCCAAACCGCTGGACTTATTCAAGTCCAGCACCTTCCTAGGGACCGAAATCTCTTACCTTTAGCTCGTATCTATAAAAAATACAATGAATCAATTGTGCGAGAGTTTTATGCTGCTTTCCCTAGGGAGGAGTTTAGAGATAATCAAGCTGTGCCCATTAAAGTTCGGGCCAAAAATGTTGACCTATCCCCCTCCATTATCTCTGATATTCTTCACTTGCCTGAGGGGGATACTGATGCGTGGAACCAATATGTAAATAGAGATTTTGATTTGCAAAACGCAGCTGAAAGACTTTTTTATGCTAACCCTGCTGCCTTTGCATCTCAAACCAAAAAGAATGTCCTCATTCAGGGTAAGTTGACCCCCTACTTTGCCATCCTGTGGAGCTTTGTGCGCCATAACATCTACCCATCCGGCCAACAGTCGGAAATTCCCACAGTAGGGGTAAAGATCCTGAAAGTTTTGCATGAGGGAACTTTTTCCCTACCTATTGTTGACATTATTTTTGAACGCTTAAAGGCTTGTGCACGTAAGAAAAGCATCATTTATTATCCTTGCCTTGTTAGCATGATTTGCTTACGCTCAGGTGATCGGGCTCGCTCTATTGATATAATTGCTGAGCCCATGGGTCCCATTTCGGACACTTCTGTGTCCAAGAGTATTTCTCAGAGACGCAATGCACCCGCACCAGCTCCAGTGCCGCCCCATGTGCCACCACCACCGCCACACAGGCCGGCCTCATCACAGCCATTCCCACCAGCTCCCAGTGTCGACACCTCTGCTTGGGACCCATGTCTCCAAGCGATGTGGGGCTTTCAGATGCTCCAGTATCAGCATATGAGCACCTCCATTGACGCCATTTGGACCCACCTCCAGATGTCAGGTCAACCCGGGACCTCTGCACATGATGATGATGCTGATGATGATCAGTAGTACTTTGAGTATTGTACCCTTTTGAACTTTTCGTTTATTTTGTTTTTTGGTTTTATTTTCAGACGGTTGTTAGTTTGTTTATTTCAACTTTTACTGTTAGTTCAACTTTTGTTTGTTTACCCTTCCTTTTATTATGTGATTATCAATCCCAATTTCTCTATATGGCATTGTTTAATCTTAAATCTCCATCAGTTATAAACAGTGTTTCATATAAGTTTGGGAAGTGTTTTCAATTCATTAATGCACAATCAGAAATTGGGCGTGAATGCTTTTTCATTTCTTAACATGTGATTACATACACAAACGTGAAAATGCGTACATATATTCCTAATCCCATGTTCTTTGTTGCATTCTGTGCCACCTGAGGCTTCTGCTAATTGCCTCTGTTTGTTTTTGCTTGTAGAATCTGCAGCAGCTCTACATGATCTTCATTCCTTTTGTGCAGCATCTCTACATGCTGGGTGGCACTGTAGAGCCGCTTCTGCAGGTCCGCCACCTGAGCTTTCAGGGCCGCCACCTCCTCACTTAGTGCCCCGCACTCTCGTGTTCTCGCCAGTAGGCGCATGCCCAAATTTGTGGCCGAGACCGCGTTGAGCACGGTTAAATTGTGGGACTCGTCCACTGCCATCTTGTCAGACTTCTGCGCCACATGCAGATGATCTGCAACTGAAAGTCTGCTGACAGTCATGCCTTCCGGCAATACTGCCCTCCACGGCACCGCCTTAGAAAAGTTTGAGGCCGAGCCATGATGGTATGAGGAGTTTGGGAAGATAGGGTTTGGAGGAGCCCGTATCTGGGCATTTGGTAGTGCAAACGACAACTCAAGGTTAAGGTCATTAATAAGCATATCTGGGGATGCCATTGATTTTTATGTCTGGACTATTTGATGGTTTTTCTTGAGTTTGCAGGATGAAATGCAGGGTACTCCTTCTTTCAACCGAGAGGTAGTTTAAATGGACATATGCTCATAAGGGAGCCGACACCACTTTGCATTTCATGAGCAATTTGCGGTTGCGTCCCGTTAAAAGGGAAGCATTTCTACTTTCTTTTCCTTCCTGTTTTCTGGTGCATTGTGTTTTGATTTCTTTTTAGTTTGTCGTTTTTGTTTTATTTCAGTTGGGAAAGTGTGATTTGTTTCTTGTTCGTTTGTCGCATTCCCTTTATTCCAGTTTGGGAAATGCGTTTTGTTTTTCTTCTTTGTCTTTTGCAACTTTCTTTTATTTTATTTCCGAAAACGAGAAAATAAAAATTTTAAAAAAAATTACACGGGAAGGGCAAAGACAAACAGGCACACTAATAATACACTAGAATCACTTTTTCACAGTACTCGGTGTCTCGACCATAGGACCTTTGAGTTTAGCCCTATGGCTATCCTCTTCCGGGGCTTCAGGTGCAGTCTCTTGGGGCTCATCACTCGAGCTCCCAAAGATTGCACTCTCAGCTTGAGCGTAACCACTTTCGCGATCTGTTTTCTTGCGCTTACCCGGTCGGTCTAGGTCCTCCAGCTGCTTTCTCATGTCCTGGGCGTAAACACTTACCATCTTTGAGAGATTTTTATTCTCTTCCCGCAACGCCTCCAGCTGGTGTCGATTCACCTCCACTATCCTTGCCCTTTCCCTTTTTAAACTTTTAATAATACTCTGGCACTCTTCAACCATACTTCGCTCTGCCGCCAACTGACCTCTTAGCACCTCCACCTCATGGAACTTTGCAATTAGGCGATGACCCACACTTGTGACTGTTGCCGTGCTTTGCACGCTTAGTGCCAGAGCATCGCTCACGACCCGGTTGTCATCCCTTGCTCCCAGCACCCGTATATCCTTGGGAGTCACTAGATTTCTAGCAACTCCAAGGGCAACATCGTTGTCCAGCAGTATCGAGTCATTCACTGTCACGTGCCCCCGTGCAGAGGCAAAGTAGGGCATCCACACTGGTGCCACTGCTTGGCCCCGAGTCTGAGTCGGTGGAGCTAGGTTGAGATCCAACGAGAATGGGTAGGAAGAGGTCATTTGAACTTTCTTTTCTTTTGTCTTTCTTTTCTCTTTTGTGTGTTTCTGCGTTTGTGTGTTTTTCCCCAACTCTTTTTTCTTCTTCTTTTATAGAGTTAGTTTCTACGTAACCCTAGCCACTGCGCTTCTGCGTTTTGCGCGGCCCTTAAGGCCTATCCCCTTAGGTCACCTCACCTGTTCCCCAACCCCTTTAATTGCATTTCTGCCTTTCAGCGCTTTCAAGAAACAAAAGTCGTCACGCCTTCCTATGAAAGCAATAATTCTGGCTTAGGAATGTGCGAGGGACCTCTGCTTGTCGACACGTCCCTCGCTTGGTTGCCCGTGACTCACAGGAGCCGAGACATCAGGGCCCACTTTTTTCTTTTATTTTTTTTGATTTTTTTTGAGTTCTCGCTCTTTGTGCTTCTGACTTGGTTTCTTTGTTTCATATACTTTCTTCGCTTTTGGGCTTTCGTTTGGGTTGGGCTTTCATTTTGGTTTGTACGTTTCTTTGGGTTTGATTTCTACGTGCGTAGGACTATTGTTAGGGCTTACTGTTTGGTTTTGTTTTGTTTTGTTTTGTTTTGCAACCGTGTTGTAGTTGTTTTTCTTGTTTGTTCTTGTATTTACTTGCTTTATTCCCTTTATTTCTTGTTATAACGTTGTTAATGCCTGAATTCTTTAACATTGGGGACAATGTTTGTTTCTAAGTTTGGGAAGGGATAGCAAGTCTTTTTCGTTTCTCTTAAATTCTTGCTTTCTTTTATTTTGTTTTCTTTTCTGTTTTGAGTCTTGTTGTTTTCAAGTCACTTTCCGGACATATATGATGAGATTGTGATGAATGTTTACATGACTTGATTGAAAATGCTAAAAAAAAATTTATTATTCACTAAATGGCATCGTTCTAGCATGATATGTTTGAAACCCTCTATGCACTTGCCATTTGTTTCATAATTCTCCAGTTGAGGGACTTGCATGATCCAAAGAATTGTATCAAGCATGAATTAGACTTGTACAACCATATAATGTGAGCTTTGAGCCTTGTGCTTCAATTCATGAGTGTTATACACATATTCTTATTTTCTTGTCATCCGAGTTGTTGTTTGATCACATTATTCATTGACTTGGTTGAGCACTTAAAAGACATTCATTCTTGTGCAATTTGATTACATGACATTTGAGAAATGATATTAAGGCCCTCTTTGGACCGTTTGTGCCTTTCAAGCTAACCCTATGCATGCTTAAGCATGATTTTCCATTGTTAACCACCTTGAGCCTATATGTATGCCTTTTCTTTCAAGTAACCAATTATTACTTCTAGCCTTAGCCTGAAAAACAAGAATTCACCTTTCTAAGGAACTCGTGAGCCTTAATTTAGATGTGTTTTTCATGCTAAGTTTGGGAAGGGATATTAC